AAAACGTTTTCCGAGTTTGCATAGCCTGATATAAACACGAGAGGGGTTGGGAGAATTCGAGACAATTATGCAAACCCGAGACGAAGTCGAGAGTTTGCATAACTGTCTCGAATTCTCCCAACCCCTTTCGTGTTTATATCAGGCTATGCAAACTCGGAAAACGTTTTCTATTGCTTTTATAAAATAAATTTCCCGAGGAAAAACGCAAAACTCTTTGTATGGCACTGATTAAAAGAGAAATTCTTACCAGTCTCAAAGTCTTGTCCCCGAAGTCTTGCACGCGCCGGGAATCAGTTCTTGTTTTGTCAAAAGATGCTTTCCAAAATACGGACTTTTCTCGCTTAAAATGTCAGCTTAAGCAAAAAAAAAAAGACACTTTTTCTTTGTAACGATTTTCCAAGATTCAGCCGACGAAGGAATGGGTAAATAAAGTAAACTTGTCGAGTTTTGAACTTGAAAACTTTTTTCAAATTCGTACTTGCGTGACCAGCGCGCGAAAAGCAAAACATCTTGACGCCACAACCATGTTTACATACTCTCATGCAAACACTCCTCTCAGCCAATCAGAGCGCGCGTACTATCTTAGTTATTTTATAAATTAAAGTTTGTTAATGATTATTATACTGCTTGTATATTCTTACAAGAAATAAAGTTGTTGTTGTTTGATGTTCTGTCCCAGGCAATACTCCCATAATGATCTATATATAAGGGGTACCTTTTGCAAGTTTATAAAAAAGAGTAGGGATAACATGAGCAAAGAAACAAGCAAATATATTCTTGTTTCTACATCCTACTTTCTAAATGAGACATAAATTTTTCAACCCAGGCAAATAGCGTTACTTTAATTCCGAAGCTGAAGCCACTAAATCATGAAATGCTACTAAATCTTAACTGAAAGACGGTCCTTTCCGTCTTCTTTTGAGTACAATTTCTATAGTATTCACTCAACTTCTGGCCTATCACGATCACGTGCACACCGCTGTCCTTGGCAATTTATTGATTAAACTTTAATAGTCTATCAGAAAAAATTGTTAAATACCCGCATGGAAAACATCTCATAACGTGCACTTCTTGAAATATTCCATTTTCGGAGTGAAGGACATGCAAAAGTTTTATTTAAGGTGGGTCTACATGTAGGTGTGATTGAGTACAACACCAAAATATAAGCTACACGCTAGTAGAAATTTCACTCGCCAGAAGATTTTCATCTTTCTCGACAAAACTAATGTCAATGTGTTTCAACAATCTTTCCTCCCACTTATTTCTTTCCATGGCACTCGTATAATCTAGGAAGGTCTGCTTTTGTAACGACTTAGGTAACTTTTTCTTGTCCACGTCATCCACACGAATCAACAAAAGTGAGGGATTGGGCGCCACACTAACCGAGCGGTACAAAGCCATATCTAATTCCTGACGGCAGAATTTGCTGGCCAGATAGTTTTCTGAAATGACAGCAAGCACCTTTCGGCTGTTGTATACGCTGTCCGCCATGTTCTCCAGGATCGCTTTTCCAATTACAAAGTCGCGACTGTGAATGCAGTAGTTGATTTGCCTTCTCTCCAGCAAAGGTACGAGGTTGTCTCGGACCCAGGGATAGTCGAGGGTGCTGAAGGTAACGAAGATGTCATACTGAAAGTCTTCTCTGTCTTTTAATTCAACTGATAGTATAAAAAAGATAAAAGTTATAATGAATGGATGAACAATTTGAACTGAGTGAGTCCTGAGTGAACAGTAACTTCGATTCTTTAAGCCATGTTCTAACGAGCAGGGACTGGGTACAAACGCCTTAAGAACATGAAAGAAATGAAAAAAAAAAACAAACAAAAACATCCAAGACTAACTAAGACGTGTGTAAGTTTAGCGTGATGAGGAGGAAATTATATCATTGAAAATCAGCATGTTCACTCAGATTTGACATTTCAACAACATCAAGCAATTTTTTAGTTACTGGAGCCATTGCACGCACCAGTATGGTTTAACTATTTCCCAGTTAAATGTACATTCAATTATTTATAACAAGCTCTATAAGTACGAAAACAATAACAATGAAAGCAACTTGCATTTCTGGTATCTTCTCCTCTGGGTTCTTCTTCGGTAAAGAATTATGGCTATCACGAGACAACAGAGAGCCATTATACCTCCAACAATTGACAGGATATATGTAAGAGAATGACTCTTCAGTAGCCCATTTGGAGTGTGCGGGGATTCTGAAAGGAATATAATTTGTTTTTAGAAATACAGAGTTTCTTAATAGTGGTTTCTAGGTAATCTAATTTTGAGTGTAAATATAAATTAAGCACTTGAGAGCATGTATAAGCGCACTTTTAATTTCATTATGATGAGCGCCAACTCGCTCGAAATTCACACACAGAGCAATTTTATTTACGGCATGTGACTCAAAATCTCGATATTTAATTCAATTTGATTTCTTTTTAAGCACTGTAGGGAACAGTTTCAACCCAAACCTAGGGATTTATATCAATGAATTTGTAATAACTTTTATCAATGCTTGAAAAGAGTGCTTTCACTCACGTGGCCAGTATCTATACAAATTTATTGACTATTTTCGAATTCCCCATAATACACTCTGTTTGCCCCAAAAATTTTGCATAACTTATTGTCTTAAAATGCTCTTGGGAAAATGCAATACTCCCAGGAGCATTTCAAAACAATGGTTTATGCAAAATTTGGGGGGCAAACAGAGTGTATTATGGGGAATTCGAAAATAGAGAATTGGAACAAAAGAAAACGTTCAAGTTGCATAAGAAAAGAGTTCAACTCCCAGAGGATATATTTGGGACACCAACATGGCCGCCGTTTCATTGTTTTGGGACACCAATATGGCCGCCGTGACGTCATGGGAAAACACTCTATACTGTAATCTTTAGGCAGGTACAAAAGTCGGACCGGATCAACTCGGACCGCCAGTCCGGGTCGGATCAACTCGGATCGACTCGGACCAACTCGGATCGAATGAAAAAAATAAAAATAAAATACAATTGGACTCGGATCAACTCCGATCATAAAAAAAAAAACTCGGATTATAAAAAGAAAAATAAAATCAGTCGGTATCACTCAACTTTCACCCGCCATTTTGTTTTGTTGTTACGAACTCGTGGTTGCGTAAATTAATTTTATTTTTATTAATTTTAATGATACGCTAGTGAGCAGCACATATACACTTCCAGTGAACATTTTCAACTTGGAAGGAGAAGAAATCATGCTCGCCCGGGACAACGAAAATTTTCGTACCCTAGGCGAGAATTGAACTCACAACCCTCCGAATACTACATGTTTATCGGACGTTCCAACCACTGAACCGGAGGGTCGCGAGTTCGATTTTTGCCTGGGGAATGGAAATTTCCTTTGTCCCAGGCGAGCATGGTCTCTCCTCCTTCCAAGTTGAAAATGTTCACTGGAAATGTATGTGTGCTGCTCACTAGTGTATCATTAAAATTAAGTTTCAGAAGCCATATCTGTGAAGCAGAGCGCGTCGTGTAACGCAACCTATAACATGGTCCGAGAGGAACTGGCACTAGTAAAAAAAATGTCTGCCTTTTTTACCCTCGAAATGGGTTAAACTTTCAGTTTTGCTGATTTAATTTAATTTTTTTGATTGCTCCGAGTTGATCCGAGCCCAATTTTATTTTATTTTTACTTTTTTATTCGATCCGAGTTGGTCCGAGTCGGTCCGAGTTGATCCGACCCGGACTGGCGGTCCGAGTTGATCCGGTCCGACTTTTGTACCTGCCTGTAATCTTTTATTAGATAATGTTTTTAATGAAGTTGTGTTACAGAAAACGTTTTCCGAGTTTGCCTAGCCTGATATAAACACGAGAGGGGTTGGGAGAATTCGAGACAGTTATGCAAACCGAGACGAAGTCGAGGGTTTGCGTAACTGTCTCGAATTCTCCCAACGCCCCGAGTGTTTATATCAGGCTATGCAAACAGAGGAAAAAAGTTTTCTATTGCTTTCATAAAATAAATTTCCCAAGGAAAAACGCAAAACCCTTTGTATGGCACTGATTAAAAGAGAAATTCTTACCAGTCGCAAAGTCTTGTCCACGAAGTCTTGCACGCGTAATCAGTTCTTGTGTTGTCAAAAGATGCTTTCCAAAATACGGACTTTTCTCGCTTAAAATGTCAGCTTAAGCGAAAAAAAAAAATGACACACTTTCTTTGTAACGATTTTCCAAGATTCAGCCGCCGAAGGAATGGGGTGAAATAAAGTAAACTTGTCGAGTTTTCAACTTGAAAACTTTTTCAAATTCGTGCTTGCGTGATCAGCGCGCGAAAAGCAAAACATCTTGACGCCACAACTCTCATGCAAACACTCCTCTCAGCCAATCAGAGTACGCGTACTATCTTAGTTATTTTATAAATTAAATTTTGTTAATGATTATTACACTTATAATATACGCTTGTATATTCTTGCAAGTTCTTGTCTACAAGAGAAATAAAGTTGTTGTTGTTTGATGTTCTTTCCCAGGCAATACTCCCAATAATGATCTATATATAAGGGGTACCTTTTGCAAGTTTATAAAAAAGAGAAGGGATAACATGAGCAAAGAAACAAGCAAATATATTCTTGTTTCTACATCCTAGATTCTAAATGAGACATAAATTTTTCAACCCAGGCAAATAGCGTTACTTTAATTCCGAAGCTGAAGCCACTAAATCATGAAATGCTACTAAATCTTAACTGAAAGACTGTCCTTTCCGTCTTCTTTTCTGTCTTTTGAGTACAATTCCTATAGTATTCACTCAACTTCTGGCCTATCACGATCACGCGCACGCCGCTGTCCTTGGAAATTTATTGATTAAACTTCAATAGTCATGTATCAGGAAAAAATTGTTAAATACCCGTATGGAAAACATCTCATAACGTGCACTTCTTGAAATATTCCGTTTTCGGAGTGAAGGACATACAAAAGTTTTATTTAAGGTGGGTCTACATGTAGGTGTGCGGCTCCTGTCATAGTACAACACCAAAATATAAGCTACACACTAGTAGAAATTTCACTTGCCAGAAGATTTTCATCTTTCTCGACAAAACTAATGTCAATGTGTTTCAACAATCTTTCCTCCCACTTATTTCTTTCCATGGCACTTGTATAATCTAGGAAGGTCTGCTTTTGTAACGACTTAGGTAACTTTTTCTTGTCCACGTCATCCACACGAATCAACAAAAGTGAGGGATTGGGCGCCACACTAACCGAGCGGTACAAAGCCATATCTAATTCCTGGCGGCAGAATTTGCTGGCCAGATAGTTTTCTGAAATGACAGCAAGCACCTTTCGGCTGTTGTACACGCTGTCCGCCATGTTCTCCAGGATCGCTTTTCCAATTACAAAGTCGCGGCTGTGAATGCAGTAGTTGATTTGCTTTCTCTCCAGCAAAGGTACGAGGTTGTCTCGGACCCAGGGATAGTCGAGGGTGCTGAAGGTAACGAAGATGTCATACTGAAAGTCCTCTCGGTCTTTTAATTCAAACTGATCTGATAGTATAAAAAGATAAAAGTTATATAGAATGGATGAACAATTTGAACTGAGTGAGTCCTGAGTGAACAGTAACTTCGATTCTTTAAGCCATGTCCTAACGAGCAGGGACTGGGTACAAACGCTTTAAGAACATGAAAGAAATGGGAAAAAAAACAAAAACAAACAAAAACAAAAACATCCAAGCCTAATTAACACGGTGTGTAAATTTAGCGTGATGAGGAGGAAATTATATCATTGAAAATCAGCATGTTCACTCACATTTGACATTTCAACAACATGAAGCAATTTTTTAGTTACTGGAGCCATTGCACGCACCAGTATGGTTTAACTATTTCCTAGTTACATGTATATTCGACTATTTATAACAAGCTCTACAAGTACGAAAACAATAACAATGAAAGCAACTTGCATTTCTGATATCTTCTCCTCTGGGTTCTTCTTCGGTAAAGAATTATGGCTATCACGAGACCACAGAGAGCCATTACACCTCCAACAATTGACAGGATATATGTGAGCAGGGATTCTGAAAGGAATATAATTTGTTTTTAGAAATACAGAGTTTCTTAATAATGGTTTTCAGGCAATCTAATTTTGAGTGTAAATATAAATTAAGCACTTGAGAGCATGTATAACCGCACTTTTAATTTCAGTATGATGAGCGTCAACTCGCTCGAAATTCACGAAGAGTAATTTTATATAAGGCATGTGACTCAAAATCTCGACGTGGATTTTCTCCCTGTACTTCTTCCCTTTACTGTCTCCTTCAGTATATTTTAATTCTTTTCTAGAGTTTTCTTTCAATTTGTGACATAGTGCTGATCTGATTCGTATTCCCGGTAACCTTCTTGTCCCATGTCAGTAAGGGAATGCGAGTTCCGGAATCTGGGAAAATTTTGATGTAGAATCCGGAATACAGCTCAACGAATCCGGAATTCCACTAACGATCGGAATCCGGAATCCAAGTACCACTGACAAAGAATCAACCGGAATCCAGTACCTGGAATCCGGAATCCACGGCGTGGAATCCAGAGTCCAAATTGAAGATTTTCTGAGATTACCTTACATGGGGCGAACCTTCCTTCCCCACCAACTCCCCCCGAAGGGATATCTCACCTTCTCTCACTGTAAGATTAACCTTTCCTACATCATGTCCCAAGATATTAGTCGCGATACACTTGTACATGCCTTGGTCGGCCACACGGGTGTAGAAAATCAAGAGGGAACCGTCGTTCTGGAGCATATTCCTAGTTATATCTCTACTATTGTCTTCAAGGTGTTCTAAATTCGGATCTGATACCGTGGAATTTACCAGGGTTCCGTCAGGTGTAATCCACGAAAACGTCGGCTCAGGCAAACCACTTGCATTGCACGTAAGTTTTACGGTTTTTTTGGTAACAGACACTTTTGGTGGATCAGCGTAGTAAATGGACGGTGGAGCTGGAGGAAGAAGTAAGAAAAGCTTTGTTGAGTTCTGGAAAAACGACTTAATTTACCATCATATAGATAGTTATAAAGTAGACAACAAAAAAAGCAACCATTACCTTGACAAAGAAAGCCATCTCCAACGTAACCATCGATACAGGTGCAATTGTACGAACCGCCGGTGTTGGTACATTTTGCTTTCTCGTGGCATTTATTCAGGTCCTGATCTTTACATTCATCAAAGTCTGTTTTTGTATACAGGGAAATGACAAATGTTGGTTAAGCGTGTCAAAAATAACGATAGAAGCTAAGATGCGATATAGAGTATAGTGGAAAGAGGATGTGATATCATCTGATATACTTTCCCTCTCGGTCAAAAAATAATAATATTGATGATGATGATGATGACGATAATAATAATAATAATAATAATAATAATAATAATAATAATAATAATAATAATAATAATAATAATAATTCACCCTCGGCAGTATTTATAGCACTAATCGCTCAGTGGAGCCGAGCAAATGCCTGAAACAAATAAACTAATTCAAATGTAACAGGGTTAAGAATCCCAACTTGACCTGAGGCAAACAAGATGGTTATTTAGAAGAATGGGCGGCGATTTGAACTCGGGATTACCCTGAACAAATCCAGCTAGCGGTCACAGCGGGACTTGAACTCGGGGCCTCTGACTTGCAAGTTCAGCGCTCTAACCACTCGGCCATGCTGCCTCCTAAAGGTAAAAACAGGCTAATTAGGGAGAATTCACCTTTTAGAGCAATTGACCTTGGATCCACTTGATATTGTCCCAATGTTCCACTGCCCAGAGTGTCATTCATGATGTCAAAAAGGCTCTGCTGATCAAATTGCGCCTGCATGTCTACTTTAATGAGCATGCTGGTAACAAGGCTGCCTTTACTACAGAATACAAAATAAAATAATACATATTAGTTGCATGAGAGGCATTTACTATACAAAGGAAACTTTTGGTAGCAAAAAAGGTGAAAAAGTCCTAAAACCGCTACCCATGACACCTCTTTGTCATCATCGTCTCATCGTCAACATCATCATTATCATGATCACCACTGAGCTACATGGCACGTGACCCCCTTTAAGCGTGACCTATAATCCGGTCGATATAATTTGAGTTCCTCCAAACCTACCTAAATGTTATAACCTTTGCTTCTACGAAAAAATTGCCTAATTTTGAATACTGTAGTGCCTTCTCCATCTACAAAGAATGAAAAAAGAATATAAGGTCAAATGTACTGAATAGGGTCGTAAAAGTGATGAATCTACTTCAAAACAGGTACTCGTTCGTGAGTGAACACAAAACGTTACCATAATCGACCAGGAGAAACATTAAAATCAAACAAATTTATATCTGGAACCCCATGACTATCGGATTTATTATGTAAACATTGCTTTACGATACGTTGACGCCTGGGCATAGCCTCTTCACAGGCTAGACCCTCTTTTTTCTCTTCAAAGTCCGTCGAGCGCAGGTGACAAAATATAAACCGCAGGGGATTTATTGACAGCCAGGGCAAGTTGCGTAGTGGTGGTACCAAAAAGAATTACACGACCTGACATGACATTCAGGCCGTTCTACCTTGTTTTCTAGAGAAGTAGCAATTTCTTTAAAGGATGGTGATGTTTCATCTCCAAGTTCAGCCGAAAAATTAACGCTAGTTACGCTGAATTTCGTCACATAGTTTGCAGTCCTTTTTGATCCTGCAAGAGAAGGCAAACAATTTAGAAATAACAGCCTTATTAAAATTACGTTGTTTTCTGACGACTTATACAGTGTTGTCTCAGTATTCTTTAATACCTCATAGCAACTGCTTCTGAGAAGAAATCACTTTCCTGGAAACAGATAATCGCACTTCTTTTCTGTTGAACCATAAAATCATCTCAGTTAGTTCTTGATGCCACATACCATGGGTGCCAGAAAAATTTCGGAGTTTTCCGATTCCGTTCAAAGTCTTTATAGTGACGCGCTCGCGAAACTTAAGATTCGTCGCTCGTGGCTTCGGTCAATGTATCAGTCTGCGGCCCCCGTGGAACTGGCAAATTCTTCCACAAGCGAGAAAAAATCTCTGGTGCACAGGGTAGGTACCGCAATGATTCTCGTTTAAGTCATGTGAGTTAGATTTAGAATTAACTATTGATGAGCTTATTGATCGGGCGCGTCATCGCTTAACTGTCCTTTTTCCTACACCTTGGAACTAACCTTTAGGTACCAACTTGATTATTTGAGTTTTTATAATGTCGCTGCGACACCTATCTTCCACAGTCCATACTCGCTCTAGCCTTGCCTCTTTACTGAAACATTCACCATAATAGGTATCATTGTGAGTGATACTGACATTCCTGCTAATGTTGCATGTCTTAGGAAATGGACTCCTGGTTGAAACTTCACCTGTAAATTGTGGTTGAAGGTAGATATTGTCTCGACAGAAGAGGGTTACATCAGATGGAAAGGAGAGTATTGGATCGCTTAGGGTACTGATCTTTATGTGTTGTGTATGCTTAATTTCATTACCACCACATGCGTCTTGAAAGGTCCACACACGGTCAAATTCACGATAGCAAAAATCAAAACCTACAGCCAAGTCGCGATGGTAATTGGTGGTATATCCACGAACTAAACAAAGCCCTTGAGTCGAATAAACATCCACCTTTGGGGAAAACCCCTCTTTTTCTGGATCCGCTGTATCTGAGGATAGATCGCATGACAGCAGGGGTGGGGAAAGGTAGTTCTTTGGAAATGTAATATTTGGAGGTGTTAAAACCAGGTCTTCGTCAATTCGACCATCGTTGTCATCGTCTTTACCATTGCCTAATTCTTCATCAGTAGTACCATCGCAGTCATTATCAATTTTGTCTCCTCCTCGTGTCGGTGTTTGTAAACACCTCGAGTCAAAGGGTGACTCCCACCTTAAGCCAGCTGGAAATGAAAACATCTTTTGAAAAGTAATTCCATACACAACGGCTGTAAAGCTTGTAAGGGGGTTGTCATGATAAATATGGTAAAGTCGACTTTTTCTTAAATTAAGCACACCTTGAGATATCTGTCCTCCTGGAAGAGTCTTCCATTTTGAAGGCACACGGCTGCACAATGGACCCTTCACTCGTAGACCAGCGACTGAACTTGTATCAATGTTGACATTTATGAAGAAGACGCCATCGCTTGGAACGTAAAAAGAGTAGTCATTCCAGGCCCACTGTTTTGGAGGTACAATACTCATTGAAGGCCTGCCGAGTCCACTGGTGTATTGCACAACAAGACTAGGATTAGACGTGGTTATCAGCGAAGTCTTATTCCAAGGTATAGAAATCTTGTATTTATCCCCCTTGTTAAGTGTCCCTTTTCTCTGCCTGTCCACGTTAACGTCTGTGGTATCTTTTGATGCAATGATATGAAATTCATCTCCACCAAGATGGTCAGGGGTAGGGTTGGTAATAAACTCCTTACCCCAAAAGCTTACCGGAGGGATTTGCTCTACAAGGTGATTACACGGGGGTGTGTTAGCTGGCACCACAGTACAGTCATCCCCAGAAAACACAGCAACAGGTTTGGATGATGTCACGACTGTTCCACTGAGATCAGCATCGCCCTGAACTTGAAACACTTCCAGATCATTTAGAGTCGTGTTAAGAAGATCGCCATTATACAAATATCTAGCTCCATAATGAACCCTTCCACCCCTCGGTAGGCGCAACATAAAAGACACCTGGGTATTGTCTTCTTTAGCTACAACCTGCACAATAGAGCTTCCTACAGGAGAGTACGTTGGGACAATGTATTCCTTTCCGAGTACATCCACAGGTAACCCAAGGAAGCCTTCACCAATGTGCTGCGATCCTAGGAGAATCCACCCATATCCATAAACGGATATCGGTTTATTTGCTGTGATACGAATACCCTTTGTGTCCTTTCCAGTGAATTCACTAAAACGTAATTCTCCTGGTAAAGTGACCACTTTAACGTCCAGAGCGCTCACAGAGAACTGCTGATTCCCTTGTTGGATTAGAGCAGGAACGTGAACGTTGACTTTGGTGTTTTCGACGGTCGTGATGTAAAGCGTGTTGTTCCCTGGGTTGTATGGTATAGAGTGTAGCTGGGGATACTGAGCGATAAAACTAAGAATGAATTCTTTACCTTTGTGTGTAACAATGTCTGAAAAAGAGACAAAAAAAGAAAGGAAAATTTAGAAGATTAGATTTCTTATCAAAAGACTAAATAAATATACCATGTCTTTTTAATTCTCTGCTCATCGTAATTTTTTCCAGCAGTTCTTGTTAATTAAAAACCTCCGAAATGAAAATCATGTAGTTTTTATTTTTTGACGCCACAGACTAAAGGGAAAGTGAAGCTTCCGCGCCAAAAGCGATGTGATGTTGTTTACTGTTCAGAGACTAGTAACCTGCGATCAAATAAATTTGGCTCTCTGATCAAGGCACGCGTCTCCGTTCAAAACCTTCGATAGAAACGGATTTCCGTCAATAAAACTGAATCAAACGACGTTAACAACCCCGACTTCCTATGAGTCTCTTTAAGGTAGTCACGCAACGCTCCTCCCCACTAACGCCGTTAGTGGGGAGGAGCGTTGCGTGACGACCCTAATAACGGCTGCGAAGGGGAATTACTCTTATATGCAAACCATAACTATAACAGCGTCGCACTCTCGTCAATCCTATCGGGAAGGAAAACAGTACAAATCTCCAGGTATGGCAAAATTTCGGTCACGTATAGCACACATGACCATTGCGTAATGGGAACCAGTGGGTACCACTAAAAAGGCTTGTATTTCAATCACAGTATTATTTTGATAAAACCCTGGAATTTGCAACAGTGATTCACCACTTTACAAATACGAATAAATTTTGAAATGCACACTGAAATTTATGCTTTACCGGAGAGTTTTGCCATCCTAAGTTTAACCTTTTTTCTTATTCTAAGGATTAGTACCTGGTCCTAATTCATGCAACTCTTATATTTAAAACTTGGCCCCATTTAAGGGAATCGGGAAAATTTTTTGGATGTGGAATCCAGAAACCGGGAAATTTTAAGGTGTGGAATCCAGAATCCTGGGCTTTGGAATCCGGAATACAGCACAAGAAATCCGGGATCCTACTAACGATTGGAATCCGCAATCCAAGTTCCACTGACGAAAAATCTGGTATCCACGGCATGGAATCCAATCCAAGGCTGCCTTGGATTAGCAACACTGTGAAGGCAAAAACACTACGACAAAGTGAGGTTCAACCGGATCTTTAGTAGAGCTTACAGCAGAGGGAGTGATAGAAAAAATAAATAAAGAAAACAAATAAAATGGTGAATTATATTTACTTGATATTTCGGTTTGTTACGCAAAGCTTCAACGGGTGCGATTATTTCAAAAGATGTCCAAAGACTACCGAAGGTTTCCGAAGAGAAATGCGAACATTTTCGACTTTATTTTCGTCGTTATATTCACATGGTCAAAAGTGACACTGCTCCTATGACTATCGAAAGCAGTATCCACCTCGCTTTCATTTAAGATCAATAGAGCTTAAACAACACCGGAGGTCGGAAATCCTATCAATACGGCCATGACGTTTCGACTTGGTAGGTACGTGGTGTAAGCATCATTCCCTCTCGACGCTGACCGAAGGATCGTGGGCAACTGATATGTTATTGGTCCGAAAGACCTTAGATAACAAAGACTTCAACCAGGTTGTGGCGTCCAGCGGTTTTAGTAAAAACAAGGGTTTGTGTGGCATGCGGAGCTCAGTCTCGCGGGCTCATAAAACCTGGTCTCGGCCGTCCTTATTGAAGGATTTTCCATTGGTCCCCAGTACTCCCCAGTATTGCCCTGATACTAATGCACACAGGCTCATAGTTTATGAGTGATTCTATTAGCGATTCTCTAAGAGCAGATAAGAATTGACAACGCAAAAAGAATATGAGTTTTTCTCCGGAAACAGCTGCAGTGGACATAAAAAATTTGTCAGTTTAACAGCCAACGCTCACAAATTACATGGGCAAATAACACTAAACACTAAACCACATTCAGAATCTCTTAATATATATATCTGTCTGATTTCATTAAAACGTGGCCACTGGCCACTGGGTTTTCGCCTGGCGCAATGCGCAGCCCGGCTCCAGGCCAATCCGGTGCCCAAAAATGTAGGGGGCTTGAGGTCTTGGTCGGTACAGTTGGATAGCCCAGGGACTGCCCTAACAGTGGGTGGGTGGATCAGGCCTTGGGGTCAAAACTAGTGGGGTAGGGAGGGGGGTGTTGACTGAATCAGATATATATTAACAGTAAGTGCTTTTTTCTTATATATGTATACGTGCGAGTTGCAAGCACGATTTCGCCCTCAAGTTGCCCTGTGTAAGGGAATCCGGATTCCGGGATCTAGGAAACTTTTGCTTGTGGAATCCGAATCCTTGGCTTTGGAATCCTGAATACAGTTAGCCTGCCAGTAAGCTCCCCGTGGAACTCTGGCGGTGGGGTGCTCCCCGGAGAGCTGGCTAACAGGCTAGAATACTGTTCAAGGAGTCCGGATTCCCACTAAAAATTGCGATCCAGAATCCAAGTTCCACTGACTGAGACTGAAATCAGTTGCAGGAATCTGGAATCCACAGCTTGGAATCCACAATTCAAGACTGTCTTGGATTCCCTGACATGGGGCGACACAAGGTAAGTGAAACCTTGCGGGGGAAATTATGGCGACTGAAACTGGTTTACATGTGTTGTTCCTGGTCACGTAATAAAAGATCCCATTCTTGAAGCTAAACCGGTCGACTCAGTGTAACTGGATATTTTTTGTCCTTGTTATTGAAATCTTATTAAAATGACAAGGACACTGATTTTGTACGTATTTTGCTTTGTTTTCATGGTGTAACGGAGGAGAGAGAGGGTTCCAAACCCCTGCTTTGGATGAAGCTTCTTCAACTTCCGCTTGGGTTTTATGAAATACACTGTAAAAACATGTATCGATTGACAACACTGAGTTACTTATATACCACTCATTGAGCGAGTAACGATTGTATCGTTTGGTAACTAATGACAAAAATGATTCCCATTATAAACAATGCTACTACGCTGAGTAATCAATTTTCAATTTCTTAAAGAAAAAACACCTAGCCAACCTAATCGGCTGTTCGTATGAGCTTTGCTTCGCCAATTGTGCGACCACAAGGCGTCGGAATCATCGGGAATAATTGTGCTACTCACCTTGAGTACTGTGATTTGCAGCCAACAGATCATCAGCATACAAATGGTACTGTAGATTATGAAGATTGATAATATCAGCAATCGGAGATGTATATAATGAATACAGCAAGGGACCTAACACAGATCCTTGGGGCACCCCATGTGCTAAACAGCGTTGTGATGATTGACAATCTTCAATTTGCACAAACTGTTTGCGAGATTTAAGATACGAATAAACACCTGACACCAGGCTAGCCTCTACGAAGTCTTTACCTAAGGCTAGGACCAACTATGGAAAATTTAATAGCAGCAGTGCTAAACTTTGGAATTCTGTTCCAAAGGATCTTAAATCTGAGGGTCGTTCTTGTTTCAAAAAGCCGTTCTTGGAAGAATGTATGGCTCTAAGTACTGATTGGTTCTTTGGTGTACTTTATTTACAGCCAATTAAGTACACAGTATAGCCCTTGTTTAGCATTTTTTTTTTTTGTCTGGGTAGTTGTGTATTTCTTTATTTAATATTAATGTAAATATTTTTCTCCGCATGGCCAGCTACTTAATGCGACTAGCATTTGCTATTTCTAAGTGGCTGTGCTCTCTATCTTGCTTCTTTTAAACATGTAGTTTACTTAGATTGATTGTTGTTGTTGTATAATTCGCACTAACCTTTAGGCACCAGCTTGATCACTTGAGTCTTTACGACGTCACTACGACATTTGTCTTTCACTGTCCACACTCGCTCTATTTTAGCTTCCTCGGTGGAACATTCGCCATAGAACGTATCCTTGTGGGGGGATATGGTAACATTTCTACGACACCGATCAACTTCGGTCAAAACTTCACCAGTAAATGTAGGATCCAGGTACTTCTTGTCTCTACAAAAGAGGGTTACATCCGGTGGAAAAGTCACCTTTGGATCATTTGGAGCACTAATAGCTAGATGTTGTACATGCTTGATCTCATTACCGCAACCATCTTTGACCTTCCATGTTCGGTCGATTTCACGATAGCAAGGGTCAGATTTGACAATTTTGTCGTCACGTTGGATTGCTGCATCCCCACGTATGGAGCAAAGAGCCGAAGTAGAGACCACAGTTGGGGAAAATCCCGCTTGGTTAGGATCGTCTACATTTGGGGATGAATCACACGATAATAATGGCGGTGAAAGATAATCCTTGGGAAATGTAGCATTCGGTCGTGCTGTGACCAGATCTTCGTCAATTTGACCATCGTTGTCATCGTCCTTGCCATTAAATAATTCTTCATCAGTTATGCCATCGCAATCGTTGTCAATGCCATCACCTCCATGTATCGTGGAATTTGTACATCTCTGGTCATTGGGCAACTCCCACCTTAAGCCAGCTGGGAATGAGAACCTCGCTACGGAAAAAGTTCCGTACACAACGGATGTAAAGTTGACAAGAAGGTCATTATGATAAATATGATAAACTCCAGTTGTGTTTAAATGAAGTGAACCCAGGGAACGTTCCCTTGAAAGAGTCTCCCACTTAAATGGCCCACTGGCTACTGGGCCTTTAACGCGAAGGCCGCTTCGTGAAGCGGTGTCAATGATTACACTTACGTATACATCAACGCCTGGAACGTAAACTGTGTAGTCATTCCAGGAGCACTTTGTTGGAGGCACAATGCTCATTGATGGCGAGCTGCCAGCACCGCTGGTGTATTGCACAACAAGACTCGGATTAGACGTGGTTATCAGCGAAGTCTTATTCCAAGGTACAGAAATTTCGTATTTATCCCCCTTGTTAAGGGTCTCTTTTTTCTGCCAGTCCACGTTAACGTCTGTGTTATCTTTTGATGCAATGATATG